TTGTTGACTACTAAACCTCTTGTTGGTCCCTTGAGGATCTACAAGAAGAGTAAAACAGTTTGTAGAAGGGGGGGATGAATACAAACACAATATTTTTAAATTTAAAATATATATTGATAAAGAAGATCAATACAGATTTTACAAGATTGTTTGCGGAAAGATTAGGTGATAAAAACCTATCTAAACAATCTTTAGTTACACACTAAGTCTTAGCAAATACAAGAAAAGAAATGTTGTAGAGAAGATCCTTTACTTAAGCTAGAAAAAGCTTGAAGTAAGAATTAGGGTTAGAGAGTGAGTTGCTTGCACTCTGCATGGAGAAGAAATGCTTCTATTTATACCCAGTGCATTAAATGAACATTTAATGCAATATGGTAGGGTTAGAGTGCGTGTCAAGCCTTAAGAGGAAGGTTTGTCCTTTGCTATATTGAATAGTACAAAAAGCATTATTCATGAGTAAACATCCTTACCTAAAGTTGGTGGACAATAGAGTCGACTAGTCGGCTCCGTACCGTACCAACTTTCATAAGGGTATGGGTTTTGTTCTTTGTGTGCATAAGGACAAGACAACAACAATCGTGCTAAGCAAGCTTCCTTTGATCGCTGAATGCTGGAATGACCTGAAGGTCTCATCATCATTCGCTGAAGCTTGAGTAGTCTTCACACATATGTAGACAGACTTGTAATCAATGAATACCGCTTCAGATCACGTACTCGTCAGTCTCTATTCTTCAGTTTCAGTCTTCGACGTTTGCTGAAGGTTCTTTGGTGTGAGTGTTGTCTTCTTGAAGTATTGTTGTCTCTAAGAGATTTACAATGCAAGTTCTTCAGCAATCACTGAACATGCTCAGTGAAGATCACTGGAACTGAAAAKACAGAAACATAAATACAACGTATAAGTGAAAAGGGATTATCATCAAATCACTGAGAGAGAGGATCAACACTTCTGCTTCTATTTTGAAAGTAATTTAAGATTGCACTTTGAGCCTGATGGAAGCCTTCTATTCTGAAATGTACTAGTGTCATTTTATTTCTTAACCTTCTACTGGATACAAACACTACTGTCGGTTCCTTGGTTACCGTTTGGGACTGTTTTGATACAAACATTGTTGTTGGTTCTTTGGTTTCTAAAGAATGGTATAAGGTTGGGATGGTATGGAACTGTTGGATAAAATATGTTCCTTTGGGATCCTATAAGACCATTGTTTGGTGTTTGGCTTGGCTTTTGAGTCTTGTGCATTTGATTATAATAGCTTGGTGGGCTTGGTTGCTATTCTTTCAAAATCTTATCCCATTTTGGCCTACTATCTCAATATCTAGTAGACATGAAGTTGGGTTTGATTGGAACAAAAAAACATGACTCAAGGTCTTTTTGATTTAATGTTGGTTCCCCTAAAATTGGTGATATAAGATTGGATTAAACTGTGGTCTGTTACTAAAATTTGGAACTACAAATTGAACTCAAAAACAGGAGCAAAAGTAACACAAAATAAAACAAGAGCAAAAACTTAGAACTCAAAACTCAAACACTGGAATAGATGGTTGAAACATGAAATTTAAAAGAAAAAGTAACTCAAATTTGGAAAGCAATCGATGGGAAGAACAGGGAAAACACTTTGAAAGCAATCGATGGAAAGGAGCGGTATCGCTTGAATCGAGTGGAAGAGAGGAGCGATCATTTATAAACCTGAATCGCTACCTTGGGATTGAATTGTCATCTCGGTAGGAGGAGAGCCAGAGAGTGGATTGCGTCGGAAAGAGAGCTCCTTGGAGAGAGAGAGAGAGAGAGAGTTGATCTTGATGTTGGAGAGACAGTGCTTTGTTGTTTTTGAATATGTGCTTTATAGATTAGTACCAAATGCAATAGATCTTGTTATTATGACTTTAGGCATGAAATGGTAGTACCAAATGCATTAAAAATTGTTTTTAAGACTTTTGTTAAATCTCATTGATAAAGTAGTATAGATATATATGTATAATATAAATATAAATTATAATTTAATATGTATATTTAATTTAATCTCGTTAAATGAAAGGAAAATGGTAAAAGTATAGAATGCCTAATACTTAACGGATTATTTTTTAAGGACCATTAAAAACAGGGGACCAAAACCGAACATTTTTATAAACTACAATATATAATCATATTGTATTTTCAAAACTATAGGACAAAAAAATGTGACAACAATCAAACCACATAGCACCAATTTTGTATTTTGCTTTAAAGTAAATAAGAACCCATATGTTTCACGTTAAGACAATCTCCCCTTTATAATCTATATTGCGCATAGTTGTTTTTTCAAATGTCGGGCAGATTAATGTTAATGGATATATTATTTAGCTTACATGCAAACAAAAGTGGTCAAAATTATTGAGCCAATGAGTGATAATGACCTGATTAATCAATACCAATATCATTTAAAATTTGAAGACTATATATATATATATATATATATATATATATATATATA